AATCAACGTTTGCGTAAGTAGTAGACGTGTTAGGGAAGTAACGCGTAACATTTTAATTATATTTTGCTAAAATGAACAAAATGACTCGAAAAAAGGTTCGTTCATTTTGCTGAACGAGACTCAAAGGTCCAAGTCGGTAAAATTATCCGAACTTCCCATCACTAGCACCTGCACGCAGACGGGGTGCGTGGCTGTCCGCGAGCCCTCCTGATGACGAAAATTACGTAATGTGGACGCGGACGGCCGAAGTATACTTTGGCCTTAAGCCTGCAGCACTAGCCGACAGTCGACGTGACTACAGTGGTTCTACAATAATTTTATGAAGCGACGAGAATATTTTTTGTGCACAAAAACAAAACAAAAATAACGACTTTATTCAACAACCTCTTCTCTTCTATGTCATTCTCATTCGTTGTTTACGTCCAGCGCTTCCAGGTTCTACGTCAGAACGCCGGCTCACTATTGGACGGCTCCTGCATCAGCATCACACGCATGCGTCGCGCTGTTCACATGTGAGGCTTTGGCCAATAATGAGCCGGCGTTCGGACGTAGAAAACGGAAGCCTTCACTGTGCTTACTACGTTAACCGCATAAGGATAATGACAGGGAAGAGAAGAGATTGCTGAATAAAGTTATTATTTTTGTTCTGTTTTTGCACACAAAAAGTATTCTCGTCGCTTCATAAAATTATTGTAGAACCACTGTAGTCACGTCAACTGTTTTAAAAACGTCTTTAGTACCGTTATGGATCTTGAAAGTTTGGGTGGCATTACTGTCAGTGAAGGACATGAGGGTGAGTAATTAATGACAGAATATTCATTTTTGGGTGAAATAACCCTTTAATGGTACACGTATTTGTACCGGAAATTTTCGGTATGGGTACGCTTTCGGTTTGGCACGCATGTGTAGGCCAATCGAACAAATACAGCATTGTTTTAACCACTGCACGAGCGGAACTTCATTGGAAACTTTTGATAAGAAACAAAAGTCTCTTCTTTGAAATTATGTCCTTTTTTTCAGGAAATTCAAACAATAAATGTAGTTTTGACGCTCTTTGATGTGGCGTGACAGATCATATAAACGCCTCAGTTCAAAAGGCAGGACAATTCTCTTCCTCTTTACTACTAGTTTTAACGCGAAATAAACATAAATGCCAATCTCATGCCTCATGTAATTGCTCAATCAGCGTTTCAACCGCAGAAAGATGGCAATAAAACTGCTTGTAAACAAAATGTCACGTAGCATTTCATTTACTATCAGTGCCCAAAGATCGTTAGTGCGCTATGAATAAAGTCGAGAAGAGCATTTCACAAAATATTAGTCTATATACTCATTATATTTTACTTTACCTGCTAGTGATGTCTTAATTACTTAATGCAGGGCAGGGCAACTTCGGTCCTGGAGAACTACTGTCCTGCAGAGTTTAGCTCCAAACACACCTGCCTGTAGCCTTCTAGTGATCTTGAAGACATTGATTAGCTTGTTCAGGTGTGTTTGATTAGGGTAAGAGCTAAACTCTGCAGAACAGTAGCCCTCCTGGGTTCTGTTCTTCATATCTCGCTTAATACATCTGAGATGATTTGATCTAGTAATCGTGATAACTGATCTCGAAACGGATTTGCGGATTTGATTAATATATATCTGGATTAAGTTGTCTAAGATTAGTGTGCGTTCTCGTGTTCCACGAAAAGGGCAGATGTATCGATACTCGAGACCACAATCAGCAATGCAGCGATCGATTGGCTGGTGGCAAGACAGCAAAGTAATGACATCATATAATTAAAAAAGACACCTGACGAAAAAACTTGACAAATTTCTGGAAACAGCCAAGCGAACAAAACTACATAATGTAATAATAGATAAATGAAATGTGCACTGTTTTTATTTTATTTTTTACATGATTCCCAATTATTTATATTCATGATTTCTAGTATTTGTACAGGCTTTACATTTTTATTTCAGTGTTGTGATTAGCAATTAATTTAATTAAATTTTTGAAGCAGATTTGTTACGTGACAGCGTTAATTAAAGTTTCTTAAGTGTCAAGATCATGTTATCTGCATCTCCTGCGCTCCATCGAGCCACTCCCATAATAGCCGTCACCACTCAAATTAATGCACGGCTCAGATTAACTGTACAGCATGTGTGTAAGACTCCAATACAATTATAATGTAATTATTTCATCACGAATACATTTTTCAACTAGTAAACCTGGCTGTGTCTGTAGTGTTATAGATGATGACTACACAACATTATAATATTTTTTTGTATTAATTTTTAAATTATTATTATTGTAAATTACTGTCCCTGGATCAGTAGGGTACTCTTCTAATAAAGTAGCAGTGGCTGGGACAGATTTTAAGTATCAGTTCTGCTTACAAAGATGCGATCTAATCCTGTTTACATGAAATAAACCTGCTACCGAGCAGGTTTAAGCTTAAGGACCTGTTGCTATGACAGCAACTCCAGGATGAGCTTCGAAGAACCAACCAATCCAAGATCATGCCAAATCATCAACAATCAAATCCAGCTAACTGAGTTAACGACATACAAAGAACAGGCCCCAGGACCGAAGTTGCCCAGCCCTGATAATGTTTAAATAAATCTGTTATGAAATGAGTTATGAGAGGCACTGTGTAAATGAATATATTTCAACAACAAATGTAATTTTTTATAATTTAGAAGTTAATTTAAAAACTGCATTATGTGCAATTTACATGTTTGCATAAATTTTTTTTTAAGTTGAGTGTTGCTTGTTATATTTAAATTTTATATTTAGTTTTTCCCCCTGCTGTACCGAACCGTGACATCAAAACCGAGGTACGTACCAAACTGCCATGTTTGTGTACCGTTACACCCCTAAATAGAACCTATTATAATCAGTGATGCTGTCTACACTGGATGCGGCGCGACACAACACATTCTATTTATGGCATACTGACAGAACGTTCAAATGATTTGCAATGGTCGCTTTGTTGTGTCCAGTGTAGACAGCCTTTAGCGGTTGCGGCGCAGGTGTATACACGGTGTACTGTAACTGAGTAATGATTTACACAATGACTTATTGACATTGATCCAAAAGGCCTGTAAATAAGCAGTTTGGATAAAACAATTTCCCTATAGCTCTAGACAAGCAAAATATGAGCTGTGGAAAGCCTTACCCAGAATAGTGGTGTATAGAAGCTGCCAGTGCATTTCCAGAGCCCCCTGGAAGCACTCCCAGAGGAGTCTGAATAGCTTCTTCCCAATCCTCACGCTCCATCAGCCCATTTACCACCTGAGAAAATATTGGGGGCATGTCAAGAGGCAAAGCAGTGAGCAGTTCACTAGACAATCCCATGGTATCCAGGTTAATAAAGGAATATTATATGCAGATTATACTTGAAATAGGCTGTATGTCAAAAATAAAAGATGCTCCAATAATTCTAAAATCTTTGTCAACAGTTGTTCCACAAAGGTTTGCAATTTGCACTCAATGTAAACAGACAATGCCCAAATATAGCACAATCTATTTTTTTTTTCATTCTACTGATTAAGGTCTTTTTACTCAAAGGTAGATATCCACATTCAACATTGTTTCATCAAGTGCAAAAGTCTGTTGTACCAACATAACTTTGTAATGCTAATTCAATTAGTGCAATTAGTGATGATGCATCAACAATGACTTGCATTGTTTAATGATTGCCCTGGAAAGATTCGCATCAAAGAAATTATGACAGAAATATACTACTAACATCTTTATTAATAAAAATCTAATATTCAGTATATTAATATTATCAAGTATAGGATGAAAACATTACTAATGTGAAAACAAAAGCCATTGCTTGTTAGACTAAGCTGCTGTTTCAGTGTTCAAAGTTTCTTCTTCTTTTAGCCTTAATATCTAAATGACAGAAATATAAATTAAAATGTTACAATCAATTAAATACAATCAATTGTTAAAATAACTGCCATATGATTTTTGACAAAATCATACAGCCTACTACAAATGCTACAGAACGTCTGCTTAGGCAGTCATAATTAGCATACCTCAAATAGTAGGCCATCACCAGACATGATGACCAAAGCATCCCACTGAGACAAGTCTGCCTCCCGCATCAGCTCACGTGCGTGGTTCTGGCGTTCTGGAAAGAAACAAACAAAGGAAACAATGTAGGTCATGCTGCTGTTTTCTACATTATTATTCTTTTTGATGGCTTTTTTCAAAAGTGTGAGACAGTAAAGGTGAGCCAGAAGAAATGTCATTTACACTGTAGTCTACATAAACCCATTAAGTAATTGTATGAGGATATACTTGTTCTGCATGAAATCAGTATTATTTTTTTCATGGTCACTGTGCCTGAAGTATGCAGCTTGTAATCTTTGCTCAACTGAATTCCACCAGCAGGAGGCGATATTTACAGACTATGCTACTAAGGAAATCAGATCCAGTCTCACTTCCATCTAAACTCAAGTCTTTAAGCTAGCACACTCACTGTCCCAGCTGATATCACTGTCACATAGCAGACACATAATGGTTATTTATGTCCTATAAGGTGCACTTAATCAATTCTAACCACATTTCCTATAACAATAACTAGTCTGCAGGAGCATACACCTTTATATTGTACTACATTTACATTGTCCTATTTATTTTATTATTATGTTTTGAAAACTAGAAGCTGCTCCATCTGGTTTTTGCCCCAGGAGGACATCAGTAAGCCTCTAAGTAGCCCGGAAAAAATCAATACCCTTCATTAATTCAGTCACATCCTATTTGACAATGCAGGAAATGCAAAAAGAGAGAGAAAGAGAAGCTGGAGAGAAAAAGAAGCTGGAGAATAACTAAACAGAGAAGGATAAAGAAGAGGGTTAGTTGTCAGTAATGGAGGCTCAAGTTACTACCTAGCCATAATTGGAGAAAAAAAGGTTGTTTATTCATAACCCTTTTCATTCTCAAAGAGAAAATAATTTCAAAAGAGATCTACTTTTTAGATCTACATATGCATTAGGATGCCAGGCTGTGCTAAATGCTTTAAAGGTAGATTGTTTTGGTCTATTATGTATATTCAGCTTTGTAGCAGGATAGGTATTAGACAGACTTGGTTCTCATTAAGTGTAAGGGCTCTATTTTCATTGCTGTGCTAACCAAATAGACAAGAATAGAGACCTGAGAAGACACCCAAGATTGCATTTAAGCTAAAGAATAACATACATACACACATACATGCAAAAATCAATCAATCAATCAACATAAAATTATCATTATATAGTTAATGAAAGTAGTATATTGATTTTATGAATTAATCATTATTTTGAGTCAGATGTTGGTTGATTCAGTTCACAAAACTGAATGATTAGTTTAGCAGAAAAACATCAAATAGGTTAACAGCATAAGGGGGAGCATAAGGACTGCTAAATGCATAGTGTACAATGGGTATAGAAAAGAATCATCCCCTTTAAAATAATCACATTTTGTTGTTTTGCAGCCTGAATGATGGACACAGTTTTTCTTTTATTCAGCTGTGTTTACTCAGAGCGACTTATAATATCCACATGAAAGATATAACACCAACATAAAAAAAAATAAACAAATAAAAAAACAGAATCACTGAGTTGGAAAAAGGATCACCCCCTCCTAAAAAGGTGTAGCTAATCACCTTCTCAATGGCACACAAAGTCATTTGACTTTCAACTGTGATCAGCTGTAGTCATTTTGATTAGCTCAGCATTAAAAGAGCTTTCCTGGAGCATTTCAGTCCTTGGTAGTGCAACTGAAGCAAACAATCAACTATGGGTGGCAAGGCACTGTCAAAAGATTTCCGATAAAGTTGTGGACAGGCACAAGTAAAAAATTCAAAGGCTTTATCAATGCCTAGAAGCACAGTGAAGCCTATTATTAAGAAGTGGAAGGTATTTGGTACAACACAGACCCTCCCTGGATCAGGACGTCGTTCCAAACTGGATGAAAGAGCCAGGAGGAAACTAGTCAGAGAGGCTACCAAGAGGCCTACAGCAACTCTGAAACAGTTGCAGGATTTTATGACAAAGAGCAGTCATTGTGTGCATGTGAACAATATCACAAATTCTCCACAAATGTGGCTTGTATGGGAGGGTTGCAAGAAAAAAGCCACTCTTCAAGAAAGGCCACATGCAGTCACAACTGAGCTTTGCCAAAATGCACCTTAATGATTCTAAGACTAAAATTGTATTATTTGGCCCCTACACCAAACGATATGTCTGGTGGAAATCTAATACAGCTCACCATCCAAATAACACCATTCCTACAGTAAAGCATGGAGGTGGTAATATCCTGTTTTGGGGGTGTTTCTCTGCAGCAGGGACTGGAGCACTTGTCAGGATAGAAGGAAAGATGGATAGGGCAAAATATTGTAAAATTCTTTAGGAAAATCTGCTGCCCTCTGCCAGAAAGTTGTCAGTGGGAAGAAGGTTTACCTTCCAACATGACAATGGCCCAAAGCACACAGCAAAACTGACCACACAGTGGTTGAAGGAAAAAAAGGTGAATGTCCTTGCATGGCCTAGTCAGAGCTCAGACTTAAACCCCATTGAAAATCTGTGGAATTACTTGAAGACTGCAGTCCAAGCGGTCAACATAAAATTTAACTGAACTTGAGCAGTTCTGCAAAGAAGAGTGGGCAAATATTGCAAAGTCTATATGTGCAAAGTTAGTACAGATATATCTCAACAGATTAAAGCAAAAGGTGGTTCAACAAAATACTGACACAAGGGGGTGATCCTTTTTCAGTGATTCTGTTTTTTTATTTTTTTTTCTGACATGTTGGTGTTATATCTTTCATTTGGATGTTAAGTTGCACTGAGTAAATGCAGATGGATAAAACAAAAACTGTTTCTTTCTTCATCTAGCCAGGGAAAACTAGGTTGCTGCTGGAAGAGGTGTTAGTGAGGTCAGCGGGGGTGCTCACCCTGTGGTCTGTGTGGGTCCTAAAGGCTGGTATATACTTCTGCGTCGGACCTACGCCGTAGCCTTTACGCCGTAGGCTATGCGTCAGTTTTCATTTATACTTCTGCGTGACAACAACGGAACAGGAGATGATGGCATTCTTTCGATCTGCACAAGGACTTGTACCACGGCAGATCAACATTGTTTGTTGCGGACAACTACTGATGTATAATGCTATGTAGTATAATAAATGATAAGACACTTGGTCTTTGCTTTGTTTTATTTAATATAAGAAGGTGTAACATTAAAATATATTAAAGTGCACATAAACACACACAAAACTCAAGTACATATGGAGGGAGGGGTTCTTGCAGACCAATCACAGTGCTTGCGGTCTGCGTAGAATTGACGCGCTGTTAGATTTTTGGAGAGGTGCACATCAGACTACGGCGTATGGGTGTGTGTCTATGCGTAAGCTACGGCGTAGGTCCGACGCAGAAGTATAAATCAGCCTTAATGCCCCAGTGTAGTGACGGGCATACTATACTGACAAAAAAAAGCACCTTCTTTCGGATGAGATGTTAAACCGAGGTCCTGACTCTCTGTGGTCATTAAAAATCCCAGGATGTCCTTCAAAAAAGAGTAGGGGTGTAAGCCTGGCATCCTGGCCAAATTCGCCCATTGGCCTCTGACCGTCATGGCCTCTTAACCATCCCCATATCTGCTGATTGGCTTCATCACTCTGTCACAAAGCGCTTTGAGTGCCCAGAAAAGCGCTATATAAATGTAAGGAATTATCATTCATTTCAAGGTGCAAAGAAACAAAATGTGATTATTTTCTATTCCCACTGTAGGTCTGTTCATTACTTTGTACTAATGGGTTCTCCTCACCTGTAATGATGAGTGTGTGTTGTATCCCAGCATCCTGTAGCATGCCTTGCACATTCCCATTGAAAAGAGCATGTGCATGCCCTTTACCGCTGTGAGGATTTAACAAAATCAGGAACATTAAAGGCCTCTTCACCTCCACTTGAATTGCTCCTGGAAAATGGATAGCAGACATGATATTTACTTGCATAGACAAAGACATGTCCTATCAAAAGTATGCAAGAAAATATGTCAGCCAATCAAGATTTTTCCCACAATTACGTTATTCTTTAGACAGAAGCAAATTAAATTGACAAATACTAAGTAATGTGAAGAAGAACACTGATAACCCACACAGACACACATCACATTTCTTTAAATAGTTTATTTTGGACAATTATTAAACCCAATCTACTCCAGTTTCCAGTTGCACTGTGGAAGGGTGGTGGGCTTAACCAGTTTAACAGGTACAGCCGGTCCTCTCAGAGAAGGGGGTATATTATTTACACTTAATATTAGGGCTGGGTATCGTTCAAAAATGTTCGATATCGATACCGATACCTTGACTTCGATACCGGTTCCTGAACGATACTTTTTTCGATACCAATTTTATGAAATCAATTTTAACAAGATTACATTATATATATATAAAAAAAAAAACTTTGGTTTTATTTTTCAGCTTGATGTTTATACAATCTCAAAGACTCATCTCCTGAGCCACTGCACAAAGGAACAAAGTGTAACCAACGCAATAAATCAGTGCAAATCGTTTTAATAAAGCTCAAATAGTCTTCAGTTTACACATCTGTTAGGCATTTACACGAGTGCGTTTTTTAAGTTTTAAAACTGTCATCTTCTGGCAATGAATGAAATAATATTCACTTAAATAATATACACACGATGATCATTGATAAAAATGCATGGTCTATTTTAGGGGTGTAACGATATATCGCAGTACGATATTTCGCGATGCAAAAATGTTACGATATGTATCGTAGAGTGGTGGCAATTTCAGTTTCATTTTTTTAATTTTGTTCAAAATATCGTGATAGATATCGTATCGTGAACCCAGTATCGAGATACGTACCGTACCGTGACATGAGCATATCGTTACACCCCTAGTCTATTTTGATGCACGACAAACACTCATGCAACATTATTTATAGGCCAAGTCATAAAGTTTCACAAACATATATATACTCTTAATGCATGTCCGAGAAACTCATGAATATTCATGTATGCTCTGCCCACTGAAACCGAAAATCTCGGAAACCAAAAATCTCGTAACAACGGAACGCAGAAAGTGAAGTATACCCGGGCCTTTATTGGCTCACTGACACTCGATACCCAGCCCTACTTAATATCCATACATGCACAAACATTTTCCTTATCCTGAGCAACTACCAAGTCTAATGCAGAAAAATAAAACCAACCAGGACCCCATAAACTGTTCCTCTAGAATTCACCATTAACACTAGTTTTAAACAAAGACTTTTTGTGACCACAGAAAAAAGTTTAAGAAGCATTTCCAGAATATGACAACTGATACTGGATGGTGCTGTGTGTGATAATTTCCCCCCTTTCTGAGGTTCTACAAATATCGGCCGATATATCGGCCTTGGCAATATATCGGTCGACCACTAATTACATCATACAAAAATGTCAATCAGTGATCTTTAGCATATCAGCCTTTTCACAATCAATACAACTGAACCATGATAAACACACACCAGAGTCTGATATTAATGGAGACTTGGGGCCACATTCAACTATTTCAGCAAACATCCCAGTATGATTTAATGCTAAACAGTGAAAGTTATAGAAATACGTTTTTTTTTTTAGGAAAAAGTTTCCAGAAGGAAAATATATTAATTACTAGAATTTGAGAGGCTTGAAACATATTTGAAATAAAGATAGGTGTTTTACTAAATTCTGGATTAAGTTTGACAATGATTCTACCAAAACTTATCAAAACCTTAACATTATTTTCTGCTAGCTTTTTTCAAGATAAATTTAAAATACTTTTTAATTAATAAAAGTGCAACAGCAAAAACTTAGAAAAAAAATTATGTTGCATTTGTTTAGAGCTTTTTTATATAATTAAGTACAAGTCAAGGTGTGATACCAAATTGGACCACATGGAGACCACTAATCTAGCCGCCTTGTCCTGACTACATGTGGATACTATACAGATCCATTCAAAATGTTACTAAAAAAATGTTTAAAAAAAACATACTGCAGTGCAGATAAACTTTTATTTATTTTTTACCAGTGGCAATTTTGTATTAAAATAAACGTTCGAACATTGTCTGAATATTAATAGTTCAAACTTAAAATCAAGTAAAACTGAATGGAAGAATAACAAGCTCTTCCTAAGAATTATTATTGACTACTGTACGTTTAGAAAAACAACAGATAATGTCATTCATTTAATGAGATTTGATTACATCTGGCAGATTATAGGAAGTTACAGGATGGTCTAATATAACCGGAAGACATCGAAAGTACATCACAGTAGTTAAAAAGTCATTTATATACCACTTGATTAAACACAACATAAGTAAGTAAGAAAGAAAGAAAGAAAGAAAGAAAGAAAGAAAAAGAAACCTGTTGTTTGTTGTCTTTGGTGTAGAACTCTGTCCCTGATGGCTCTTGACCATCTCTGCGCCTCCTGCAGGTTCACACTCGGGTTCTGATCGGGCGCTACCCGAAAGCACTGCTCCACCCGCTGCCGAGCCACCCCAGACCTCATCCATCGAGTCCTCAGTGGGTAGAAATAAGCAGAAAAATACGCTCCCACATCCGTGCTGTCATGAGACCTGTATGCCCGGCACCCGACGCAGTCACTCAGGTAATACACGACTTTTCCTCGTCCACCGAGTGCTGGGCTGATCTTTTGAACGGTGAGCTCTGTCTCAGTCAATATCAAAGAACACCGGACCTTCATGCTTCCAGTCACCATAAATTCCGCATACATCAGAACCTGACAGATCTCTGGCTTCTTGGATTCAGTATTCTTTGAAGACATGTCATCAGTGCGCAGCGACTTTCACATATGCACACAGTAGCCTGATCTGACTCAGCTCAATGTGGAACTGCTGCGTCCTGCCTTCTCATCCGCGCTATTCACCAGCTATTCCGCATTACAGCTCGAACCCCCTAGCGATAGAAGCCGGTAACAACCTTAAATATGGTTAGGGGAGACCAGGGATGGTTGTAACATTTTTTACATTTCTGTCTGTATCTTGGAGTTCTTTTAAGCCAGTGCGTTCAAAATATAATTCAAACTAGTTCCAAGTGTCTGATATTAAATGGTGTAGCTGTTAACTACACTAACAGAAAATGCATGGTTTAGTTTCAAACACAGGAGTGAAATGTTACAATTCACCCAATAGTCCGGGTTATACCCTGGGGTGAGATGTAACATTATGATATCCACCGGGGTGAGATGTAACATTATGCAGTACGGACTATGACAACAAAAAAAAAAGGTTTTTGAAAGCAAAATTAAAAAAATTAAAAAATAAATTAAAAATTAAAGCATTTTTGTTCAACACTGAATTTTCAACATAATTGGTGTGTGTGTGTGTCAGAACTGAATAAAATAAGCAAATGAGCACCCACTTCAACAATTGAACACTATTTGTGTGTGTGTGTGTGTGTGTGTGTGCGTTTGTATTTGACATATCAGGACAAAATTATGAATACACACCAACAAAGTCAGGACGTGTAGAAGTCAGGACGAAAATCGATGTCCTCGTTTTTCTGAGCATACCACAGTGTTCTACAGCCTCAAATATATACCTGGTGCAAAAATCTCCTTAGGCCAGAATTGTCACAATTTTTTAAAATCATCTGTGTGTATCACATTTTTGCTCACTCACTGATACGCCAACTATGGAAAGTGTGAGGTACTGCGCTAAACGTTTACACACACAGGAAGTGACATCAACTATGTTCTAACATTTCACTTAAGAAAAATTCACAGTTAGGAAATCAAAATGGCTAGCTATCTAGCCAGTGGTTGACTATAAATAAATAGTGTGTTGGCCAGCAGTAACACAGTAAACAGTTCTAAAGATTGGACTTTAAACAGTATCATTTACAATTATCTACAACGTGATGTTTGGATGAATGCTGTTACAAGCTAGCTCACGTTAGCAGACTCTTGCTAGCTCAAGAGTCTCTACTACACACGCTGGCTAAAATGCTAAATGCATAGCTAACCACATCCACTGAACCAGTTTTGTATAGGGGTGATCGATCTTGAAGACGTCCACGATCTACTTTTCAAGCGAATCGTAGCGATCGCAATCTTTTATGTCCTCGTAATAGCGGGACTTTTATTGTGACGGCGCTGAGAACGCCTGAGAAAGGCAGCGCCTGAGCATACAGTGCTCACATTCACCGTGTTCATTAGTTTACGGTCTCTGTTTAATATTCAAATCATATCTAATACGTTATTAGATAGAACTGTTAAACAAAGAAAGTAAACGGTATGCAGAAAAGTATTATAGCGTTTGCTTTTATATTATTAGTAACAGAAAGGCAAACACTAATACTTTCTCATTTACCGTCAACATACAGCAAATGCGCATTTATATCATTTACACAAATCTTTGAATATCTAATAAACATTTAATTTCACAAACCTTGCAGATTCAATCGAATCTAGGTGTCAGATATTCTGAAGTGTGCATTGGTAGCCTGCATGAACGTGTTTACTGTGCGTGACGGACAGTCCGTGTGAATTAGTTCAGCTTCACTGGAGACCCACGATCGACAAACTTTACACCCTTGATTTCAAACTATGTTGCGCTATATTCAGGTGCCCACTATGTCATATCTTTTTATACAGTCTATGTGTCATATTCATAATTTTCACTGTGTGTAATGTATGTAAATCGAGTGTTTCCATGTCTTCATTAGAAAAAATGTGTCCCAGTGGGCACAAACTTACTGAGTGCCTAGTTGGCTACACTTTTATTAATATTTTTTTCAAACAATTTCTTTATTTGTGAAAAATACTATATTATTATTATTATGAATACAGAATCAAAAAGTTAGTTAAAAAGTTACAATCTAAAATAAGTCTGTTTAATTGAGATTTATTTAATTAATTTTCAGATTATTTATTTAAATCACATATATATATATATATATATATATATATCGGCCGCCCTGCTCTCCCTCTATAGGACTAATTGTGAATTTACAGCTTAAAAAATAATTGACTTTATATTTTACATTTATATTTAGGAGTAAAATCATTTTCCAAAATTAGTTTTCTTCATCTGACCTTTGACCTTTTTTTAGGGATCCGTCATTTATAACTGACGTTGTCCCATTACGGTAAATTATTTTTGGCAATTTGTCTGAAACTTCACACACAATCAAATGCTTTTTCCCTATCTGAAAAGAAGTGAAAAGGTCTTAATGTTTCAAAAAACATTAAAAAATTTGTATGAACATTATATTTTTTTCTTGTGCTGCTATATTTGATTTGGAACTCACGCGTGAAAATGTCTAAAACTTTACACAAATTCGGATGCAATTTCACTGCCTGAGAACCATGTCTGAGTGTTTCAGAAGGATTAAAACAACTTTAACATTGTGTTTCATCTTGGAATTTCAAATCAATTATCATAGCACAAGTGAAAGTCAACAAGACTCTTCTTTTTCAGTTTATAATGTTACAAAATATCGCTATTTCAAATAAATGCTGTTCTTCTGAACTTTCTATTCATCTGTGAATTCTGAAAAAATTCTACTCCACTGTTTTCAACATAATAATAAATGTATTTGAGTAGCAAATCAGAATATTAGAATGATTTCTGAAGGATCATGTGACTGGAATATAATTGAGCTTTGAAATCACAGGAATAAATTACAGTTTAAAATATTTTCACATAGAAAACAGTTATTTTAAATGGTAAAAATATTTCAGAATGTTACTGTTTTTGCTGTATTTTGGATCAAATAAATGCAGGCTTGGTGAGCAGAAGAGACGTCTTTAAAAACTTTAAAAATCTTACTGTTCAAAAACTGTTGACTGGTAGTGTGTTAGCCTATAGTTTGAAGTTAAAGATATTAATATTAATAAGATGAGTCTGAGATGTTTATTTGACAGTGATTTAACATTTCTTGTTTGTATGAAGGCTAAATACAAATAAAAGGTGAACATTAATTTATTGGTACTAGCCCATGCACACTTGTAGAATTAGTATTACATATTTGATCAACAGTCATGCATTAATTAAATGTATTAATATTATTATAAGGTATTTACGAGTCATGTTAATAAATAGCTATGAGTTCATTAAAAGTTAATTAGTTTGAGAAAACTTTGATATTAAAGCACATGGTAGCCTACACAGTTTTAGAGTTTATGTTTTTATTTTGTAATGCTGGTGAATAATAATACAAATTTCAGTGAAGTTTGCGGTCCTATTCTCACATGGAGCATGGGTTGGGAAAAACTGACATGAACGTTTTTAATATTTTTTTATAAGGGAAAGTAATTTTACTTGTGAAAAGGGTTAGGGACGTAATTTTCCCCGGGAAAGCATTTTTGGCGCGAGCCGCGACGAGGTGCGTTTGTCATTCGCTCGAGGGGACAGATCTTCAGAGAGAGGTAAGTTCACTAGCTTGTTTTATAAACTGTTATCTTTTCAAATTGTGAAACGTTGACCAATTAAACAAATTATTGATAGCTACCTAGATATACAGACCAGCAAATTACTACATCTGTTGCTTGCCTATAGTATGAAGACGACGAGTAACTAGTTAAGTTTGGTTAGCTAAATTACAGTAGAACTAAGCCAATTGCTAGGCCTGTCACGATAACTACTTTTTGTTGTGCGATATATTGTCCTAGAAAAAAATTGGCATAAACAATATTATTGTCATTTTAAGACAATTTTATGCCACTGAATATATAATCATAATATAAAAGCATAATAATAAAAGTAGGCCTACACACTTTCAAAAGACAGTATCCATTTAATTCTTTAGATCAGTGTTTCCCAACCGGGGTGCCATGTAAAAAAATCATTTTTTAATATTTTTAAATTGCTAAAATGTTTAACAAAGCATCTATTATATAATATAAATTTCTGATGTCGCCAATAATTAGAGATGCACCGAAATTTCGGCTGCCGAAAATTAGTTCACCGCTCAGGTTTCACTTTCACGTGGTGTGACGCTCTGCGTATTATCCCGCTCTATGCGTGTGCGCTCCGCTCAGTCGCTCCACTCGTATACCGTTCATGCGAATCGGAACAGCAAAGTCCACTCAAAAATTGAGCCGACAGGAAACATCGATGTAGTACAGTATTGTTTCTGTCTGCAATAGCCCTACTGTGTTGTAACATGGTGTGGTATATGGGCAACTCTGGTAAAGCTGCCCTCTCATTCATTGATCTGCTAACCGCTATGTTATGCTGAGGTGTCCTCTGATAATAATAGCTTTCTAGGACTTAACATTATTTGGATAATTGGTAAAAAAAAAAAAAA